GGTCGCCTAAGACCATCCTGCATATCAGATATTTACATTACGATTCATAACAGTAGCAACATTACAGTTATGAAGTAGCAACGAAAATAATTTTACGTTTGGGTCACAACATGAGGAACTGTATTTAAAGGGCCAGAAGGTTGAGAACCACTGTTATAGAAGATATATATATCCTATATAATAAAAGCCTAATATGCTAAGTGTCTGATTGTCTGTTCAACCAATCAAAGCGTAATATGCTAATGATATGCTAAGGCCACTCAACCGCTCGCTGTGACATGCACTGACCACCAGGGGGCAGACAGTCGACTAGTCGACCTGTTGCTATGATGTGCACTGACCACCAGGGGGCAGACAGTTGACTGGCCAAACAGTCATTATGACATGCACTGACCACCAGGGAGCAGATGCTCCGACAGGTAGGTTAGCTTGCTGCTGGGGTCCGGCCAACTGGGACTGAGCGAGACAGGCCAGACATGCCCTGAAGCCCTCCCATGGTCGCTCCCCGGCTGACCAACCTCCTGCGTCCCTCCCAAGCCCCAATCGTGCACTGGTGGGGTCCCTCAGCCTGGCCTGCGCCCTCTCACAATCCAGGGCCCCTTAGGGGATGTCAGAGAGCTGGTTTCAGCCCGATCCCACAGGCCAAGCCGAGGGACCCCACTGGTGCACAAATTCATGCACCGGGCCTCTAATTATATATATCTATATCTATATCTATATCTATATCTATATCTATCTATATATATATATGTATGTATATATCTATACATATATATATTTCCTATTGATTTCAGAGAGGAAGGGAGAGTGAGAGAATAATTGATCAGCTGCTTCCTGATCGTGCCTGCAACCCGGGCATGTGCACTGACCAGAAATCAAACTATGACCTCCTGGTTCATAGGTCAATGCTCACCACTGAGCCATGCCAGCCAGGCCCTTATACAATCGTTTTGCTGCACTAGCATATTAAAAACACACCTGCAAAGCTAATGAATATTCTATTGAAACATTTTCCTCTGTGTTGACTAACTGAAATACA